GGCCGCGTTGGCGGCGCCATGTTGCCATGCGGGGCCGCCGCCCCGGCAGATGGCAGCGGGGTTGGACTGCGGGGAGCTAGCGTTATCCGCCTGCGAAACCCCACGGTAGTTTCTCCTTCGCCGTCCCTCCCGCCTGAACTGGACCTACTCACGTTCCCCGGGGGCTGAAATTCCTGCCATGAGGTAGCTGCACACAGAGGATCAGCGATCTGGGGTGCCGGCCGTGGTGGGCTTGATTGATACCCTCAGCTCAGCTAGGAGTCAGGCCAGCTGGTTTGGCATGGTTAATTCCCATCAAATAACACATGCAGCTTCTTAAAGCTTACTGGTAATTGCCTGGTGGTGATACTTTCTGACACCAAAAGGAAATTTTTGTGACATCTTCTCAAATCTGGCTCGGCTCGCCTGTCGTCAGAAATGCAGAGCAACAGCCTTGCCCCATTTTTGGCTGCCAGTTCACAGCTTTAGGGTTGGCACTGTTGACATTGCAAAGTTGCAGTGGTCCAAATGGGAGCTTTCAAGCCAAGGTCCTCAGCCCTAGGACCTTGAACAGCAACAACCTTCAAAATGAGAAATGTGGTCAATGGAACACAGGGGGCAGGTTCATGAGCTGCAGTATGAAATACTGAGCTCTGTCACCGTATCTCAGGCCTTTGGAAACAGTACAACACCATGACAAAACAGCTTAGTTGTTTATAATACAAAGGATTGATCCAGTGAGAAACGTGAGTCTGCAGAAACCCAAGGAGTAGTTTTCGCAAGATAAGAAACATCAAAGAAATCTTTTTCAAGTGAACTGCACCACAGGCCAGGTACTTCCCTTGTGGTTTGAAGAGAGAGCATTTGAGGCTGTGGGTTATAGTCACAAGTGTCACATCACCAGATCTTAAAGGAGTAAAACCTGGGCTTTGGAACAAAGTGAAGTTGAAAGTTGCATGTCCTTAAATGCATATAGACAGTTAATGCGTATAGCTAAAAGTGGTATTCATTTCTTCTGTTCTCTTTAACTACGTACATGATCTAAAACTTCCAATTAATTTTGGCAAATTTTAATCCATCACCCCTTTCTGATTCCCCCAGCTGACATCTTTGATAATGAATCAGTGATAAATAGATTTCCCTTCTAGAGTTGCACCTGCTTACAGAAATTTGAACAAATAGCCTGACTGGAATTAAGTATCTGCACTTGTGATAATTTACTTTTT